ATGATCTAATTATACTATCTAAATCAAAATTCGGCCTCCAGAAGTGTCTGGATAAACTCCATAGCTGGAGTAAGAAGTGGCTAATGGAGGTAAACCTAAAGAAAACTCAAATTATGATTTTTGAAAAAAGGAAAACAAAAAAAGCGAAGCCAATTTTCACACTAGGAAATGAAAAGATATCTGTTGTACAGGAATACTGTTACCTAGGCATAAAGCTTAATCACAATGGTAATTTTTCCTTGGCCATCAAACAGCTGAGTGAAAAGGCCCTGCATGCGCTCTATAGCATCAGAAGACGGCTCAACCTACACCAACTTAACCCCAAATCTGCTATTAAAATTTTCGACAGCATAATTTGCCCCATTCTTCTGTACAATGCAGAAGTTTGGGGTGTATATATCAAAAACGATTTTATCAATTGGGATAAACTGCCGGTTGAAAAAGTACACTTAAAATTCTGTAAGCTCTACCTAGGCGTTGGCAGAAAGACGAGTAATATCGCCTCAAGAAGCGAACTTGGAAAATATCCATTAATTATCAATGTATTCAAAAGAATCTTCAAGTACGTCACTCATCTTAATTCACTTCCTGAAACAACCATTTCAAAACAAGCTTTCCTCATATCAAAAGATTTATTTATTAAAAAGAGCAATTCTTTCTATGGAAAAGCAATGGATATAGTGAAAACCTTGAATTGTAATAGAGCAATCCCTGACCTAGATTCACTTACAACCAATCTAGTTGATTCATGCGTTAAAGATACTAAAGAAAACTACCAGAGATTCTGGAGACATAAACTTGAAAACTCATCCAAACTTACCTTCTACACAAGCATAAAGAAAGACTATGAGCTTGAAACTTATTTGACTACCATAACTAATTCAAACCAAAGAAAACGTTTAACACAGCTCCGACTAAGTAACCATAAACTAATGATTGAACTCGGTAGATACGAAAACATTCCGCGAGAAGACCGAATATGCAAGGTCTGCCAGGCAGGAGAAATTGAAACGGAACATCACTTCCTAACATCCTGTGAAGCCTATAGTAGTCTCCGAGAAAACGTTTTAAATGACTTGGAAAGTGATCCCACCAATGAAACAGATTTAAACGAACACAGTTTATCAGTTGAGATAATGAAATCAACTGATAAAGAAACCGTGATAAAATTATCAAAATTTATCTCTTTATGTTTTGAGAAGAGATCTAAATGCCTTGAAGCTCGGAATGCTGACAGTCAATAGGCTATCGAACTAACTCCCAAACTTCTTCAATTACATATACTGTATACTGTAAATAGAGTATTCATTTGTTAACTATGCCTTTCTTTATATCAATAACTTCATTTTAATTTCTTGTATTACTCACAGTGTCATATTACCACAGAACATTTTGCATTTGTAACTATTTATAATTAACTAATGAGCTTTAGCAATACTTGTATGTGAAGTCATGCTAATAAAGCCATTTGTTACTGTTACTGTTACACTCATTAAATAATATTGCTGACATCTGTATTATTTTTAAATGCTCCCAAACGCTTCATTAATTTAAGGTTTAGACATGACTTATGATCAGACCTTATGACCAGACCTAAACACAATTAATCTAAACAATATTTGGTTAAAACTCTACCCTGCATTTTCGGCATTTGAATTTTGGCTGAAAGGCTTGGCGGTCAAAATTTGATAAGAAAGCGTTTCTGCCAGAAAATCACATTTACATTGTTTTCAGCTCAGTTCAGATGCCTCGTGTAAACCTTAATTAAGCATTTTTCTAAAAAGTGCTTAACATAGGTTTAAGAGCGTTTAAAAAAAGCTGATTAAAAACAGAATATCATACTTTCTCAACACAATATAATACAGTATTTTATGACAATCCTCTATTTTCTAGAATTTTTACTATGTGATTTGAAAAGTTTAAGCATCTGGATACGTAGTATGGACGAGATTCCCAAACTCATGTATGTCATGCGCTTCTAAGTTCCAAATATAACTACAGAAGTCGTCTAAGTTCAACATTGATCCAGAAACTAAAACTGCGCCATACGGGGGATGTAGATGCGAATCAAAATATACAATTTTACTGCCCTTGGATAAAAAAACGGATGTACGCTCATGAATTATTAACTGCGCTACTGATTTATCAGAGTTCATTAGATGAGCCAATTGTGCAACAATAGTGGATGGTTGGTAGGGATCTGTAAATCGTATAGGAAAGATATTAACAACTTCTACATTTATCAGACCAGACAACAACTCTGCAGCTTCTTAGATGGAAAGATATCTGTGTGGCAAGTTCGCACGGAAAGTGTTATAAACCATATTACCAATGGAAATGCATTTGCATACAGTATTTATCCAGGTTAAGCAAAGTGGGCTTATAGTATCATCTTGAATGTCCAGCTCATTCATGAGGAACTTGTAGCCTAATAAAGTAGCAATAATGCTACATGCATTACTTTCATCATTTCCTGCCAACGTACTCTGACTGACTGATGCAGGAAATTTCCAGCAGATGACATCATCGCACGCTAATTCTCCAATTATGGATTCTAAACCATTTTCTTTCTCAGGTAAAATGTTCAGTGATACATTGCTACCAATCTCATCGACATCGGACTCACTGTCATGATCGATTATGTCCCCATCTGATTCGCTTTCCGTATCACTTAGGTCGTCAAAAAGCTGTTCAAACTCTTCGATGTTGCGATTTAAAACTACTGAAAATGATTTTATACCACGCGCTAGCTGACATAATGCAGAATCTTCACCTCGTTTTATTAAAGCGATTTTTCCATGCTTAATGGAAGGTGCACTTGATAAAGTAGCGTACGTGCGAAGAAGTAAAGGCTCGTCTACATCGTTATCTAAAACAAAAAGACAGAAAACACAAAGCTATTATAATAATACAAAAAATACGGGAAAGGAAAAATAACAACAAACAAACATTGTTTCTTGATTAACATTGATTTTTCTGTATTGGTGTAATGTACTCAGGTGAATATGATTCGATTCCCACCGTGGTCGGGCATATTTTTCAAGCTTGCCCGGTGCGGATATACATTCAGAGTAACATCACAAGCATTTTATTAACATTTTTTCAAACAATAGGAAAACAAAAAATCAATTGGAATACCATTATTTTTGTATCATAACCATAACAAGGTATGAACTTATTTTAGAAAACAGGAAAGATGAATAACTATTCCACAACCTTTAACGAAAACAAATTCGGCATTCCAAGGCTTTCCAACTCCCTGACGAATGGCATACTATTTGCTCGAGAGGTCGAATTCTATTTTCGAAATACCGTCTGAATTGTAGTATTTCTGTACTTTTTGTAATAATTATTGTATTATATACCTGAATGCAAAGACTCCAACTCGTTATTTCTTTGATGAAGACTAAACACTAAGGTTTTGTAAAACATCAAGTAGTTTGACATCCACTTCTCCACTACAAGACGCTTAGTCCTTATTGGCATGTCTAAAATAGACGAAATGAGACGAGCTTAGGTAAAGAAATATATAAATTACGTGAGGCTGCTTTTTGTAGATCTATTGTGGAACAAATTTTAACACCGATAATTAATATTGGACAAGGTTGAGCGTGATATCGAGAATTATCAAGTTCTCTGCCTCAGAGGATATCACGCGAAGACCGAATTCAATAATTATTTTATTATTCACATCAACTAACCAAAATAGTAATCGAATAAAATCAAAGAAGTTATACAACTTCGGTCAGCTTGAGAAGGTTTATTTGTAGGCGTGACGTCAAAATTGCAGTATATACTGTACGAAGAATACCTGTAGGTCGCCAACCAATCAAAATAGAAATTGTATACATAGTAAATACATTGCCTTCCTTTGATATTATTTACTTTAGTAAACACGAGGATAATTGCATGAAATCAGCTTTGAATGGTCACAGGGATTAAAGTAGCTACACAAGAAACGTGCTACTTTCTTACAAACCTTCAGAATATGTAACATTTTCATCTATCCACTTAAAAACTCCATTCGCAACATCTTCTGCATTCACGTCATCATTCAAAATACTGTTGTAGAGCGATACTGATTTTTGTAACGCAACCTTCTCCGTTGTTATCTTTGCCCTTAGACGGGTTCGCTGCTTGGATGAATCTTAAAATAATGATCCAATATTGTATACTACGGCTGCCTATTCATTGAAAACATAGTAGCACACGCATACACTGCACAACAATGTACGTACCTGCACATTTCCCCATGTTATACGATAACTGTGCAATGGCAAAGTGTTTGAACATCAGTTGTCTTTGTAAATCATCAAGGCACCTAAAGGACCACACATTGTCAGTTATATTATTGTTGGGAGGTGTGTAGTTAACAGTAATTGTGGAAACCCAAGTGTCGTATATGAGCTGGTACATTTGTTTGAGCTGACACGGTCGTTTGAACTAATATAGTCGTATATGAACTAATTTACCAGTAGTCTTGGGAGCTAGTACAGTGGTAATCATATGAACTACAGTTATAATCCTAAATCATATGACGTATAGTCTTTTCCACTGCCTGCTCATCTACTCTATCGATATACTGTACGTAATGTACCTGGATTTTAAAGACTCTTTTCCAATGTTTTTTGTGGTGATATCATCGTCCGGTGAACAACTAAGCAGAAGTTCTCTTAAGCCATGGACACATACTTTCTTTGTGATACTCTTCAGGGTTTTCGAAAATAACAAATGGATTCCAATGGATAACATCCTAGCAGATGGATTTTATTTCCAAAGATAACTCGTCTTTCTCTAATGATGCACCAAGAAAATATCGTTCATGTGATGACAATGGAGGTGGCTTGTGGCACAATTCTTGTTCTGTGTAGAAACAAAATCAAGCAACAGATAAATAACATGTACGCAGCGACTACATCTACTTAAGCACTGTGACAGATACTGTACATCATATACACTATAATATACTGTATTACACATGTACACACAATAATAGGGTCGTTTCCCGAGATAATAACCAAGGAACACAGATTATAAGAGGATCCGGCGATTTGTTTTCCCCGAAAATTTGATCGACCACAGTATGGTAAATGCCATTTCCTGCTTTGATCACGATTCACAAATGGCAAATTTCAACATTCTAATTGTGATTTTCTTTGCTAAACAACATATTCTTTACTTCGTTTTTTGAAACATGTACGAAAAGCAATTAGTTAATTTGATAAGATTTCATAGTTATCATGCTTGATAAATGTCAACTGGACTTGCATGTTTGGAATCCCAAGCCAGATACCTGCGCATAACATTGTACGTTACTAACCTTTGGCGATATCTTTCACATCCCTCATCCAACCAGATATCTTCTTGTCTATGTCACTGATAGATAAATCCCCCATTAACTGAATCATTTCGAGTTTAGCTTTGTTCCATTTAACCTTTGCCTGCACAAAATAATATATAATACAGGGCTGTAAAATCTCATTTAACATTACAGTACCTCGTATATTACAGAGTGACAGACTTTTCTCACAACAAACAAACAAACTTATTAATAACGCTATTTTGTTGCATGTTCAAACTGGAGAATTACCACATTCACAAACCATATGCCTAAACCAGCGCTTTACTTAACAATCTTTGTAATCACTTATTGTCTCCTAATGAACATAAGCATAAAACAATTATTTATATAAGCCTGAACTGTAATCTAGTGAAAAAAATTCAGAGAAAAGCACACTCATTCGACAAAATAAGGAACATCATCTGTATGTAATTTATCTGGTCAATTTATAATGGTGTCAAACACGGCGTTAGTATCGTAAACCACTCATGCCTGGCGCACACGATGCGATTTTAGTCGGCCGATAAAAATCGTTTAACATACCGATATACATCGGTATAACTCCGCACACGATTACGAAAAAAATATGCTCCCTGAACTGTAGCTGCCATGTTGCCAAATAAATACAAGCACGTGATCACAGCATAAAATCTGATTGGTTATACTTAAAATTCCACCGATAAAAATCGTATAATATCAAAACGTTTTGATGTTGTCCGATTAAAATCGAGAAACAAAAATCGGTTAAAAATGACACCGCACACACAACAATTTTGTTAGTTTTAGTCAAACGATTTTTATCGGGCGACTAAAAAATCGTGTGCACCAGGCTTAAGGGAAGAGACGTCGTAAGTACATGTAGAAGACCACAATAAAACAGGATATTAATTTAACAAACCTTGGCATAACGTTTTGGTAATGAGTTTGGTAGATCATCAATTTTTCTTTTGTTCCAAGAAAGAGCATGTTCTGTCAAGAGTTCTTCTCTCCCTAAAATAAATAACGTTAATTGAAGACAATTATGAACGGAATTGAAGTCCAACATTTTGGAAACTAATACAGTTTGTATACATTTTGGAAATACATTTTGGAAACAAATACAGTTTGTATCTTACTCTCAGGAAGCATGTGTTTTGTTGTAGTACCATGACGAGAAAAGTGAGCATTTACGAGCTCTACTTCTCCGGTGGTGCCACAAGCTCCATCCTGCCAACGACCACCCCATAACACATGTAACATAAGTAAAAGCGTGTGTCTCGAATACAGTGTAAATTGACAACTGCATAGTCGATAAGTAAACACTACATTGGTTCTATTGCACATGCAGGTAGAGCACATGATGCTTAATTTCAAATGTATTGATGCTTACACCATTCCATTCAGTACCTAATGGGAATTTATTGGGAAAACCATAACAAAACAGTGTAGGTACCTGACATGACCATGAATGAGCTTTTGCATGCATCACCGACAACGCTACCTAAATGAAACACAAAAGCTGTTCTATCTGCGAGTATAATATACATATACTGTACATGCACAATTATGTGTGCATTGTGAAGTACCAACTTATATTTAGACAATCCAATCATATTGCTGTACCTCATCTGTTGATTTCTTACAGTACACTTCTTGAATGTGCTGGTCAACTTTCATTTTGGAAGCAATGAAAATTTCTTTATAGTATGGCTCACTCTGTTGCCTGAAATTAAAACACACAATAATCAATTGTCAAATTAAAAGGCACTTAATTTAAGCCTATCTACAATCACTGCAGAAATTATTTATTTACTAAGCTTTGCCAACTAGGGCAGGGTCACCACAACAGCATATGCCAATTACTGTGGGCCCTTTTACCCAACCCACCCTGCCAACTTTCCCCATGTGAGAGGAACCAGAGTACATGGAGAAAATCCATGACTTTCGGCAGAGCGTTGACCTTTACTCTTCTCGCACGAGGACTGGGTTCGAGTCACATCGAGAAGGTTCTCACCGAGGCTTGAAACTACGGTCTTAGAGGTGAAAGGCAAGTGTGCTAACAACTTCGCCACTGAAGCCCCAGTTGGGACACTTGCTAAAATATCTACTACACAAATAAATGGGTGCTGGGACTCATTCGGTGATGTCCCCCATCCCCCTTTTCAATGTTGTTTCACACATCACTAATTTTACCGTAATTTAATCCACTTCATTTGTGAAAAAAAAACATTGTAAAAGGGGGAGGGGAAACATCTGTTACATTTAAGGACAAGTGTCCCAACATTTTTGCAAAGATTGAAGTTATCATTGAAACTACATGCAAATGTGATAAGACCAGAAAGTATGATGTTTTACATTAACTTACATATCATATATACATTTTTTATAACACAGTTAATAGATGACGGTCATTTAGACTAAAGTCAGTGGCGAAATAACTATTAAAAATAAGTAATTATACATAAAAAACAGCCGATGCATAAGCTTACATACATATATAGGTACTGTATTATTAATAACTGTGGTAATATTTAATTATATTAACAAACAACACTCAATAACCTTCCGGCTGATTTGAAACGATACAGCTTCATGTTACTATCAACATGAGCAGAATGCTGACTTGGGTTACAGCAAGGACATTCCATAAAATTCTTTCCCATCAATTGATCTATCTCATATTTGCAAAATTTCCACTCACGAAAAGAACTCCCAAATGTAGAATGGTTTATGATCCCATCCTTAATTGAAACAAAGAAATACTGGAATTTAAAAGTACTGATTGCATTACTAGTTCGGGACAGATATGGGATACAGGGTCAGAGCACAACATGGTGCATCCACTTCTTAAATGTTAATAATTGTATAGTGCTACTGTACATACCCTCCCCTTCTCACAAGAGTAATCTTCCAATGATTTTAAAAACGCTCTTTCTGAAACCCCTGGCATTCGTTTCTGCATTAAATCCCATTGTTGTAGGATATCCATGTCGAATACATGAATTGTATTATTGGGAGTTCCAGGCCAAAACCCAAGTTTAACAAGACTTTCCAGAGACCATGGTGAAAATACATGTTGGCAAGCGGAACAGTGGAATTCTGCTTTATCCAAGTCATATCTACCTACAACAACAAATTATGTCACTATTAAAACATTAGTTTTTTGTATCTCTTACACAACACACACTCAAAACTTATGAGTATAATCAAGTGTAATACCTTATGGCCATGTATGACTGCATTATTTCAAATTTATTACTATGCTTTGGATGCTTGTCATGATTGCAAACTCACAACAAAGAGAAAAATTGCCTCTTGTTAATATTTAAGAATTATTGAATTCGGCTTACGCAGGATATCAGAATTGTTTAGACCGAGGTCAGCGTTATCTGCCGAAAGCGAAGCTGAGGCAGATAAAGTTGACCGAGGTCTGAATAATTCTGATATCCTGCGTAAACCGAATTCAATACTTCTTTTATTATCCATTCTCTAACAAAAACAGAAGAAGCCATTGTCAAAATAAAATAATTTTTCAAAATTTCCCGCTCTTTTCAAATTCATGCAAAATACCCATTACCACTGCAAAAATACGCTGGCACCTACAGATACGATGTTGAATTATCAATTTGTCATGTCCACATGCAGATACGAGATTTATTTGCCATGTTCATAGCTGCACCGAGATACGGAAAATTATCTGTGGGCTTTCAACCAATAAGAATACGAGAATATAGTACAAAGAATAATAATATTATTTATTATTTATTTAAAAAATTCCTGGTTTCTGATTGGCTAACAGCCAACGGTGAAATTGTCATATCAACTCAATGGCTAACCAAATATGGATTTTTCACATTCATATTAGCAAAATGACATCAAAGAGACAATATGAAAAAAATTTGGACGTGTTTGCGCCATATTACTATGACAACGAGAATCATATTGACTCACTGACGCCATTGATATGACGATGACGACGGCTGCCAAAGTATTAACGAACTGTTTTTTTCTTAATACAAATAAAATACAAATGGCTTCTTCAGTTTGTTTTGAAGTTTTTAAATAAATAATAAAACAATTATTGCATGAGGGGTTGAGCATGATATGAAGAATTATCAAGCTCGAAGTTTGCCGTTATCAACCGAAGCCGAAGGCTGAGATTGATAACGGCAAATTGAGGGCTTGATAATTCTTCATATTGTGCGAAAACCGAATTAACCCGTTAATTAATGGACACTTTCCTCACATGTTTACAGACTTTACAAAGCTGCCACCATTAACGATTTGAACTCTCCAGAAGGCAATTAATAATGAAAAATTGGGCTTCAATCGGATTATAGTAATTTTGTCATGTATATAATATAAATTAAACTTAATTGATAGGTTAATAAGATACAAAGGGAAGGCATTAATTGTACAGTTTATGCGAGACTTTTTATTCATTGGTTTACGGATCCGCCGACTCATAGGCGTACGGGAAGGAAAAAATTAGGGTGGGCGGAAAGAAATTTGCCCGCCTTTTTCGGATTGTGCCCGAGTTGTCAAAAAAATTTTCTGGAGAAACTTTCCAAAATTGTTGTTGACGGGGAGGAGTGATTACGAAAAATTCCTATTAGATAGCATACTGTATTTCCCAAAAAATTGACAGAATTTCCCACAAAATTGATAGAATTTGTCCCATTTATTTTTATAATAAGCAAATATTGCCTGACTGTGAAGCAAATATTGGCCAACTGGCTTTGTTTGCCCTTTGTTTGCCGCCACCTCCACCACCCCCCCGCCCGGTACGCCCATGCGCCGACTGTAAATTATCAGAAAGTGAAAAATAAATAAAAATTGGATGTCTCAACAATTTTACGATTTTAGTTAATTTGGGGTTCAGACATGAAGTACACACCGAGTAAAATCCGACTCTAAATACTGCTGCCTCATGTTATCGTTGTGACAATCTTGAAAAACAATGTTTCTTTTAACTTTCTTCTGACCTACCGACCTGGGTTTTTTTAAAGTCAAATCCATAAACCGACAAATAAAAAAGTCTCGCCTTACTTAATTTATACATGTATAAATATTAAAACACCTTTGATTGTAACAACTATGCATTGACTTTCAGTACAAACTGGAATCATTGTGCCAATGGACAGGCATGAAGGGCAATGGCCAACACTTGGGGAAAGCGTTCTGCAAATAAAAAAAAATACAATACATGCACAATTTAACCCCATTGACAAGTAAAATTGTCTGGCATTAGACAAGTAAAAAATAAGTAGGGCGCATTGCGGCTCAGTGGGTTAATTAGAGACATTGTCGGATTTTTTGGTTAACCCTTTAAGCTGCAGAGCTTCCCCATTGACGAGTAAAATCGCCTGACTTTAGGTAGCCTGTGAACAGGCTGTCAAGGTGAAATGAGAGCCTGCACTGATGATATACAATTTTGAATATCTGCCCCATAACATTCGTTTTTCCAAATATGGAATGTCTATCCTTATATGATGTTGTTTACAACTTTTGTGCAAACTAAATTTAGACTGTGCAAACTAAATTTAGACCGTACAGTTTATACTGTTTTTCAAAATATAAGATATTCAAGCAAAAGTTTAAATGTTTTAAATACTGTTTTCTCAAAACAGAACATTTCGTGCTTTGAGATAAGATGGCCAACACCAATTTGATCAGTTAATGTGTTTTTTATGCATAGTGCTTCTGCAGTTGACATATATAGAGCTCAGCGGAAACATATAAATTATAGCATCTGACCAATGAGAATTTTGCGTCACGATTTGAGACGCAGATATTCAAATTCATTACTCATCTATGCAGGCTCTCATTTCACCTTGAGAGCCTGTTCGCAGGCTAGACTTTAGGCAAGTAAAAAGGTAAAAAATAAGTAGGGTGCACTCACAGATCTAGAAATACTTAGGGCACACTGGGGTGCATTGCGGCTCAATGGTTAAGCAGCATTGTGATTTAATTTACTCATCAATCTGATTTAAATATCAACTGCCTTAATTAAAGGGAATCTACAGTCGTTTTTATTTATCTATGCCACCTTTAAATAAAAAGTTAGAGGACTCCACCAGAAGTTCTTATGACAGTATCTCACATGTAGTACTGTGAAAATAATTATGAACGTCTGGTAAAACAATGAAATGGAACAAAAAGTGTAAACAAAGGTTAAGCTGGCACAGCCAAACAAAAATGACTGTAGATTCCCTTTAATCCGCCATAATAAAGAAATTGGCGGCTGTTGATCTACCTACAGCAGATTGTGATCGGAAATGATTTGAAACAGCTTACATTAAAAAGTTTTTTACTTAATGACACACAATTAAAGCTTCATGTCATTGTCTGTTTTTCTTGTCACTCTTTCTGACTGATTTATGCTTGCTGCCGCAAAAGGATTGTAGGTAGACAAACATGCCGCCATTTTATTATAGCAAATTGGCTATCAAAGGCATGAGCCGTAAATATGCAAAAATGTCAGTACGAGAAATTATTAATTGTAAATTTAAATAAAACTATGTACAGTACCAGGTAAAGTACATGTACATGAAATTTAATCGCATAATTTTGAATAATAGAAGGCAACACAAAATAATCAACCATACTCACTAAAAGTTTGAAGTTTACCATCAACACTTAATGATTGTCTAGGTGAAAGTGCTTTACAGTAACCATGATAAATTCCATCTCTATCATGAAGTGGGAACTTTTGGTGCACTTCCTCATCACAAGATAAACATAAGTGTTTTGAATCAGTACATTCCCCACAATATATTCTGGTTTCTTGGCTGAAACATTTAGAACAAACACTTGGGATAACTGCTGCACAAGATAAAAGAGTCTCAAATATTTTTTGCTGAGATGATTCCCAATTAGAATTTAAATTAGTCATCCTCTTGTCCCAGTTAAATTTATTTTGTTGCTGATTTACTGAATCTTCATCAAGCAATTTTTCACATTCCCCAATTAGGATGGTGAGGTTATCATCATCTAAAGAAAAAGTAACAATATACACATTTTTGTATGTAGAAGCAATGGTGCAGAATAACTTTTATATACCTTACAAGACAGCACAAATCTTAATTTAACACATGTTTCTCAACTTACATTTAATTCAATATTTAAAAATATTGTGTGAGCATTGTATAGCCATAGAGTACTTAGTCTACTAACCTGGAGTCTTAAACTGATCATCATTAATAAAGTGATCAACTTCAGGAACCAAATCATTATCAGATGTGAATACATCTACTATAAACAATAAAAAAAATTCAAATACTTAGTTTACACAGCATATACTATATGGCTGTAGTAGTGGGCATTTAATTTTGGGACATACGGTACATATTACACAATGCAAACAAATGGCATGCACAATTATAAATTAAAATAGCACTAAAACAAAGCAACTGGGAATAAGATCAGTCCTGAGTGGACTGGCCCATACTTAATTTACCAGGTAATCTGAGAAAGCCAGAAAGGGAGCACTTACAGGCATGACCTTCCCCCGCCCCATCACAACCTCCCACCCAAAAATGAAAAAGAAACATTTTTTAAGGGCTCTGATATGAAGAGGCATTAAACAGAGCATAAAGGTTTGCCAAAGAGTACATTAAAAATAAACACATCTATGCTTTATTAATTGCCAAACAATTATGAGAACAAAACAACTGTAATCATTATGGCAAATGCTAGGAAATTTTATACTGGTAAGCCAGGTATATGTCTAAAGGTACATACATCTTCCATTTTACCATCTTCCATGTAGCTTTGTTTTGTATATAATACCATGTAAAAATTATTTGTGCATAGTTAGTGCAATAGTGTTTGATCTGTGTGCCTGGATCTTCATCAGTGCAAATAATATGAAGATCCGGGCACAAGGATTGAAAGCTACATATGCACAAATATTTTTTATTGTAAAACCTGAAACCTTAATTTAAAAGAACTTATCTTCCATCTTACTGGTACTATACATAATAGAGACCCCGACTGCCTTGTACAATGTTTATTTTTAAATTACTTCGCCAATGACCTCATCAGATGGGTCGTTTTCTAAGCTATTTAAAACACAAGCAGGAGTGCTTTATCAGATATACTGCTCGTGTTTTAAATAATAACATAATGATATACCATGGACACACTGCAATACGCCAGTACTGCATGCAAATAATTGATTAAAGACAATAACCGAAATTATGACAAAACTTAAAACCTAGATCAGCTCACTAACCATTTCCAGTGTTTTTATTACGTTGAACATCTTTCAAATTATTTATACGTTTTCGAGGGCAACGTGGTCTCTCGTTATTAATAATTGTTCTTCCACAATCATCAAGAAATCCAACGCTGGTTTGCACTCTTCTTCGTTCTAGGCCGACGAAAATCTTTTCCGCATTCAATAATTTTCTCAATTTTTGATGCGATATCCGTTTCTGTGGATATGCCCCCTGCTTTAAACCAAACAGTTCGAACAGTGCTAGAGCTAGCACTATCAGAACTGTCCGCCATCTTGTCTTTTACGTTGCATGGCCCTGGGAGTCTGGGACTGTTGTGAGAAAGAACGTGTGTATGATACAATGCATCATACGTGCGTGCGTATGTCATATATCATCATACAAAACGAGAGACCATGTTGCACCCTATGGCTACAAATTGTGCATTAGAATTCTGTTATATCTTTTTAAATTTTTGTATTTATCTGATCAATATCAATTTTTTAATTCGGTCTGGAAACTTAATTTGTGTTACTTAAATGTTGGAGATTGTGTTAAGATTTTCGATAAATTCCAATTCCAAAGTTTCCAAATATAATAATATAATAACGTTTCCAATTACTGTTGATTTTGACAATTATTGCAATTTTTGATTGTTGCGACCTCAACCGCTACAAATTTCAACTGATGAAAGATCGTCGTGACTGCGCTACTATTTCTGTAAAAGGTGTTGATTTTTGTTGCAATATGTGAATTTATAGTTACTCTGTTGAACTGTAGCCGGTTTTCAAGTCATCTTAATATATAATTTCAAGTTACTATACTTAGAGTGTAATCGTGTTGTTTTATTACAACTGGCTCGCATTTTACCAGCAGTGCCAAGCAGTTACCCATGTGCACAATAACAAAAACCTGTCAAACTTGTTTTACTGGATTCTCATTTAATGTATTTGTCCATTAATTTGGACGGCGGCTACAATGAAACGATCGTTCATTTGCTCGCAGTGGTTAATTTCTCCTCAGCTCAGCTAGAAACCACTGCTAGCAGGGTAAAATACGTCTATATTGGTTTCAAATCTAATGAAATGGTGCATAAAATACACTGAACCTTGTTTGGTGATGATCAAATTTAAACACAAGATTCACAGTGTTTGTCTGCAGAAAATATTTTTGTTGGCTTTCTGGTCCCAGAAAATGAAATATTTTATGCAGCCCTGGTTGAAACAACAGTGTCGTTTGTAATGCATGCTCGTCTCTATCTTGTGCAGCATTTATTTTCTTGTGTGGGCATTATCACACAATGCCCACACCTGCACCACTCTGGAACATTTTCCTCACGAGGGGGATCTGGTGGATCAACTCAATCTCCAGCAGGAATGTCCCCATTGACCAGATCAGCATAAGCTGCTGGCTGCCTCCTTAGAAGCTCTAAGGCCAACCTTCTACGTTGGTCGACATTCAAGCCATCTACAAGATTCTGCAATAAAGGATAATTTTTCTATAATTATGCACCCACCATTTACTTGTGACTTAGGGGACAACATTGGAACTTAGAGGAGGAAAAATAAAACAATGCCAAATTTAAATGGCAGTGTTTGTCTGCAGAAAATATTTTTGTTGGCTTTGTGGTCCCAGAAAATGAAATATTTTATGCAGCCCTGGTTGAAACAACAGTGTCGTTTGTAATGCATGCTCGTCTCTGTCTTGTGCAGCATTTATTTTCTTGTGTGGGCATTATCACACAATGCCCACACCTGCACCACTCTGGAACATTTTCCTCACGAGGGGGATCTGGTGGATCAACTCAATCTCCAGCAGGAATGTCCCCATTGACCAGATCAGCATAAGCTGCTGGCTGCCTCCTTAGAAGCTCTAAGGCCAACCTTCTACGTTGGTCGACATTCAAGCCATCTACAAGATTCTGCAATAAAGGATAATTTTTCTATAATTATGCACCCACCATTTACTTCTGACTTAGGGGACAACATTGGAACTTAGGGGAGGAAAAATAAAACAATGCCAAATTTAAATGGCAGGCCACTTTATAACATTTAACCTGCATGACATGGTCTGTTTCATGTTGAAATGGTCTCAAGTATAGATTAAAAAAATTTGTATGAAGGAGAAAGGGCCTTGTTGAATGATTAGATGCATGTATATATAAACATTGGATTTATGGAATGTTTTGGTACGCTGTTTGGTGTTGGTGAACAATTTTGTGGTACTGAGGGTGAATTTGGCTTTTTGCACAAGGTTTTCTCAGCCATGGACATTTACTTACAATATATTCAAGCCTATTGCTGCAATTCCTATGTACCAGTAACCAAATATTAGTTTAGTAAATTCAATTCAAAATGGAATTCATATTTAACTTTGAGAGATTGTATGACCAGCTTTCAGCCATTGTTCAACTATCCTTTTATCTGGCCAAATATTGACAAGCACAATATACCAATTTTAAATTATCTTACCACTATTTGTTCCTCATGGTTGGCTTGATTCTGCTCAGAATCTTCTTCAGGCTGAAGTTTGGCATCTTGTCCCTCCACTGGAACTTCCTGCAGCTTGACCCCTGCCTCGTCCACTGCCACGTCCTCTGCCTTGTCCTTTCTTTGTAGGGATTTCATCTCCTTGAAGAAAGAAGTCGGAGTCCTAAAATATATTAAAATGACACTCTGTAATCTGCTTTTATTACCTCGGGTCGGTATGACACCGAGGTCATAAATTCGGCTCCTATTTTTTTTCTTTTTTTTTTCCCATTTGTGTCGAGCCGCGTGCGTAGTTGAAGAGCCTGCAGAGGAGACGACAACTTCCGGTAAATAAGTGTACTTCCGGATTATTTCAAGCATCGGCCAAAGCAAAACGGAACCCGAAGCTGTCCTTGCACAAAATCCGTCAAAATTTTTTATTTAAAACCAGAAGATGTGATAATGTTGACATAGATGTTTAGCTGGATAACTATTCTCGAGTATATGTTGATATAATGCACAATACTTTGTATGCATAGCATGGGAATATCGCGGCCAACTTTCACTTGTTATCTATTATAATTACTGACCCGAATCAAAAGTAATTATTTTCGGCTGGAAGACTACTGTACGTTGCTGCGTTTACATGTCAGGGTGACGAAGATGCATTATTGCCAATAATGTCTGTGTGCACTGATGCACGCTGCATTATTTTTAATAATGTTGTGTGCTATTTTAACGCGTACATAGAATATGACGCGTATAAACATTTACCCCTGAGCCGGAATTTCCTTATACAACCAAAAAGGCCGCTCCCGTTTTTCAGTAGAACGTTAAATGAAAACTTCTCGACATTCGCTGATATAATGCAGAGAGAAAACAATAGGTTTGATGAGGGCCAGTAATTATTATCAATAAAATATTAAAACGGAGCTTTGATTAACTGATTCACCATTTATACTAGTGAACTATTAAACTATCGTGATTTACACAATTTTTGGATATTTACCAGACGATCCCCTATCCACCGACTCGAGGTTAACGCCGAGTCGGCGTCTTGTTTAAATATAAAACTGCTTATAAATTTTTGGTTTTATACTGTATGCTACAAGCATAGTACTAAAATACATTGATATTCAAATTTGAAAAAGTAAAGCAAAACTCTCAAATATGTTGGTTTTTAAATAGCTACCGAATTCGACCAGAAAATGGCGTCCGATTGCAAGTTAGCCCATTTATTACATAAAACGTTTGACACAAGTATGATGTATCTATAGTACAAAACTATTTAATGTGGTCAGATTCGTACCAAAGACTTGTATTCATTTAAAATTGTGATGTGATTGACTAAAAATATCGTCACATATCGGAAATGATTCAGCAATGAGCCAATTTGCATATACGCACCACAAATTTGTTTCAAGCTTACAAAAATATACTTTCAAAGGATCATTAAACCAAATCAAATGAGATTAAAGTAAAATTTTACCGTTGTATCACCTGACTCTTCGCTGTCGCTTTCCTGGAGTCTTGGATTGTTCATGCAAGACCATAAATCGCCGCCATGACACACGTTCGAACAATACTTATCCATGCTTTTACATACAGATATTTCACAGCACACTCCCTATATCAGGGCTTTTCAGTGACTGGTTACATTATGAATAGATAGATAGAACCGGACTGACGTGAAGCAGACCGAGGTAGACGTTGAGCTTACAAATGGCGCTTGAGCAGCTGCCGCTATTAGTCCATACCTCATTAATAATGATCTGCCTCCAGACCTATGTGCATAACCCACCCTGTCAACTTTCCCTGTGGGAGGAAACACGGAGTGCCCGGAGAAAACCCACGACTTTCGGCAGAGCGTTGACTTTTACTCTTTTCACATGAGGACTGGGTTCGAGTCACATTGAGAAGTTCTCACTGAGATTCGAACCTGCGACCTTAGAGGTGAAAGGCAAGTGCGCTAACCACTTGGCCACCGAAGCCCCTAACACGACAAAGCAGCCAACAAGCACGACAAGCAGCCAACTTCAGAAAATACAAAATAAAACAAATTCCAAAAATAGACATCTTGTGTTCTTGATATTCATGATAAAAACAAGAGTCCTGGTTGTGGGCAAACGTACATAGGTAAAACTGAATGTAACCTACAAACGAGACTAACACAGCACGCTACCAACTACAACAATTCTAGTGCCATATCTCAACATCTCTTAGACTGTCCTGATGCACACTTCATCTCTTGCCTTTTCTCATTTCCTGACATTGATTCTGAGGAAGACTTCACTTGACTTTGCAATCCTTGTAATCTTATTCAAACTAATACAAAAATCCTATATCGTTGTAATAATAATAATCCTAAACAACTCCTTATCCTAGAAGCACTACTGATAAAGCGTAATATGCCACAACTCAATAGTGGTCTAAAAGCTTGTAAAAAAAACTATCATTGTTCTAAAGCCATTAGTCCATCACATTGGCTTACACACAAAACCTGTAATTTTATATTTCCGCTACATCTGTAAATAGCTATACATATAGATCACAGCTTGCTTGTAATTTCATAGGTCTGACGATGTCTTTGGAATAAAGATGAAATATTACCGACTCTGCCTTTACACTCTTGTTTTTATCTTGAATATCAAGAACACAAGATGTCTATTTTCGGAATTTATTTTATGTTTTTACATGGACAGAAGTTTCTTCCATTTTCACACAGGCAACAATAACAGCCAAAGCATTGGCATGTTGTAATATTGTGTCTACGTTTGGTAATCTTGCAAGCTCCTCTATTTGACTTATTTCTAAGTCTTCCTGCGAGAAGCTTTCTTCAAGTGCGTCAGCCATATGCAAATTGAAAATAGTCAAAGAGAGAGTGTTACTATACTGGTATATTTCATCTTATGCTAATAATGCAGTTCTAAACAAAAACATAAACAAACTCCGTACATGCGCAGAAGGGACTTTTCCCCCTCTTTAAAGGAGTTTTTATCTTTTCGTTGGTAAAAGAGTTAATTAAAGGTGAATATCATTAAAGCGACTTTAGGACTGTCTGAAATATCGTTTGAAATGCAACATTTGTAGGTTTACTTATTGTTCAATATATTATTTAAATGTTTCTAGTCTCCACAATACTCCTGATCGATCCTGAAATGTGTTAAAGTCATGAAAAGCAAGAGAAAAATCACAAGATGACCAACAATGAGGGGCCTGTACTGGGTTCCAAAATCCTGCCATCCTGCCAAATTTTCACTTAAAATCCCGTTATCCTGCCATGCCTCATCCCAATTTCCCGTTCCTGCCTTTATTCTGACACTGCCCAAAGTAGTGACCCAGTAGTCATGATTTGGAAGTAAACAATGGATAGCGAGATTTTCAAAGAACGTGTTAACATTGAAGAAGCTTCTAAATCTTATTAAACCGCAATCAATGTAATCATACATGTAGATGAGGTATGATGACATTAATGAGACTGATGACAGACAAATTTTCAATAACTATCACTAAAAGCAATAAAGTTGAGCATGGACCCTTCATTTTTATGTTGACTGTCTCGACTGTGGTTTCTATATTTGCTTGTATCTACTTGCATAACCTTTCTCTGTTCATAGAAAATATAATTTAAAGCGTCAAAGCAAACACAAGTTTCAACTGGTGCCGGTTGTATAAAAAAGTAGTTAAAGTTAGCTATAGTTAAGTGCAAAAAGTTATCCAATGAGAACCGTGTATTTAGAGTTAACTACTATTTAAGACATTTAACTGCAAAACAGGTAGTTAAAAAATAGTTAAGACTTTTATACAACCGCCCCTGGCAGTTAATCCAGTGACGACGCGCAGGGTGCTGCTATACGAAAATACATAGAAAAAGCACATGTATGACCATGTATGTATTAGAACGTATAGAATCATGTACTTACAGCTTGGAACGTAAAGTTTAGAACATCAAACGACTATTAAATCTGACAGCCCTACCGAATGACGAAGTAGTGCCCATCAAAAAGTTTGCGATTGAATTCGCCTCATTTTCTTCATCTGACTCCGAGTCGTATTCATCAGGAAAATTGTAGGCTGCTACATCCTCATCTTTGTTCTCGCTTGATTCTTGGTCTGATGACAGAACAAGTGGCGCATCAGCAACCTTAGGCATGTTTCCATACACGTATGCAGGTAAAGTTCCCGCTTTTGCCATTGTTGTTTCGTGTCTTACAGTTCTTTGTCTGACAGCAGCACCGTACGAAACGTATTTCATCTGCTGTTGCATGTCCTACTGGCAGTGGTTTGATATCGGGTATATCGATAAATCTTGCTGGCCGGTCAGGCACTGGATACCATGACTTTGGGTTAGTGTAGTAGACAGCTGACCAGTTAGTTGTCCTTTTTAGAGCCTCTTTAAGGGCTTTCCCAAAATTACGGGAGTACTGCAAAACAGAGTACAACGGTTCCTTGAAATGAACAACAGCATGAATATTTTCAACATCAAGTGTCATGCAACTGAGTAAATTAGTCGCTGTGTAATTCCATGGAAACGCTGAAATGCCTTACTGACGTCATTGGCAGGGGAACGGATTATACAATGTATACAGCCTTTGTAAATAGCTATAGTTTACATGCTGTTTTTTTCTACGTTATTTGAGGAAATTGCATAAAAATGACATAGCAACCTAGTTTATTTCTATAAATTTCCATAGTATGCGTTCTTTCGCCTTGCGGAAGATATGCGACGAGTATTTACGTCTTAGTGTAGGCGCGCCGAACATCTTGCGTCAATGCAATATACAATTGACATAAGTTAAATTTTTTAAAATCACGTTGTAAACCAATTCATTTTTTGTCCATTTTTTTCTGGGCGAGGGTAGGTAGGAAATGATGCTTCAGTTTTCTAAAAAACATATAAAACGCAAAACATAAACGGACTATGTTATAATCTATATTTTTCCACAGACTATTGCATTCATGTAATACGTATTAAACCATGAAGGTCAAAGTTAAGCAATGTATATTGCCCTGTGAACGGCTGCAATAGTGATAGTCAACTGAAGACAAATAGAAACGTTAATTTCTTTCGTTTTCCTTGCGGCAAAATGCCTGAGCAGAAGAGCTGTAGAGCGGCCTGGGAAGAATTTTGCAAACGAAAAGCATTCAAACCCTCACTTTGTACAAGAATTTGTTCGCTTCATTTTGCTGAGGAGTCATTGCTGCCATAGCGAGCGAGCGTGGAGCGAGCGAGCGAGGCAGCAGTCCTAATCTTTATGTATATGTATATATATATAAGGCAGATGAAATCTCGATCGTTTCGGCGTACCACAATGCACTGCTTCCGGACCGGCAGGCTATTCTTGCCTAATAAACAGGCATAAGGCAAACAAGCAATGTGTTCATCTTTCATCTTTGGTTTTCTTTTATGGAAAGCCATAGCTGGCGTAAGTGATCAAACAGCATTTTGTCGATACGCAGTGGTTCGAGCATTATACGTGGTGCTTTCGCCATTATACGCGGTGCGTTCGCCATTATACGCAATGGTTCGACTAGCATTATACGCGGTGCTTTCATCATTATACGGGGTGCTTTTAACATAATTTCCATATTCTTTCCATGTATATAATCTCACGATTGCTTAATAAATCTGGTAGGCCTATGTGGCTGTGCTTTTTGCCTCTGGTCTGCAATGACAATGACATGCTTTTAAAAAGGTTTATTTATGAAAAGGTGACTGCACTTCGTGAGTTCTTATATATTATCATATAGTGTCGATTTATTAGTAATAAATCTGTGTATATAACATAGGTATATAAATTAATATAACGCAGCAAATGCACGCCAAGCAGTATAAACGCGGCTGAAATACGATATTAAAATCTTGAATGTGCCGTATGATTTAATTATGTTTTAGGATTTAAAGCCTTTAAAAATGCTTTGTCATTTGTATTTGTACTTGTAGTGCATCACAACGCAGTGCGTAAGTGAACAGATTCCACATGTGAGGTTGTCTTGTGTATATATTTTGCCTTCTTTGATAAACATTATTAAACACGCAAATTTAGTGAGACGCACACTCGCACATGTAATTAAATGTCACCTGCATGTCATTGTCATTGCCCTTTAACCCCTGGTTGCTGCCGTAGCGAGCGAGCGAGGCAGCAGTACTAATCTTTATGTATATGTATATATAAGGCAGATCAAATCTCGATCGTTTCGGCGTATTTCGGCCTACCACAATGCACTGCTTCCGGGCCGGCAGGCTATTCTTGCCTAATAAACAGGCATAAGGCAAACAAGCAATGTGATCTTCTTTCATCTTTGGTTTTCTTTTATGGAATGCCATAGCTAGCGTAAGTGATTAAACGGCATTTTGTCGATACGCAGTGGTCCGAGTGTTGTACATGGTGGTTTCGCTATTATACGCAGTCAGTTCGAGCATTATACGTGGTGCTTTCGCCATTATATGCAGTGCTTTTGTCATTATACGGGGTGCTTTTAACATAATTTCCATATTCTTTCCATGTATATAATCTCACGATTGCTTAATAAATCTGGTAGGCCTATGTGTATGTGTATGTGCTTTTTGCCTCTGGTCTGCAATGACAATGACATGCTTTTAAAAAGGTTTATTTATAAAAAGGTGACTGCAGTTTGTGAGTTCTTATATATTATCATATAGTGTTGATTTATTAGTAATAAATCTGTATATATAGATAGGTATATAAATTAATATAACGCAGCGAATGCACGCCAAGCAGTATAAACGTGGCTAAAATACGATATTAAAATCTTGAATGTGCCGTATGATTTAATTATGTTTTAGGATTTAAAGCCTTTAAAAATGCTTTGTCATTTGTATTTGTTCTTGTACTGCATAAGTGAACAGATTCCACATGTGAGGTTGTCTTGTATATATTTTTGCCTTCTTTGATAAACATTATTAAACACGCAAATTTAGTGAGACGCACACATGTTAAATGTCACCTGAAATGTCATTGTCATTGCCCTTTAACCCCTGGTCTAAATCATATGATTATTGAAGCGGGGCCGTTTTGACTTTGGGCCGTTTTGACTTTGGGCCGTTTTGACTTTGGGCTGTTTTGACCTAGCACCGTATTTGTGGGCAAATTGTCTATACAGTTTTATGTACTGTTTAATAAACGAGCAGGAGTGTTTTATTAGGTTTAAAAGCACGAGCGTGCAGCGTGAGTGGCTTTTGACCTAATAAAACACGACCTGCGAGTTTATTAAACGGCTTAAAACACGACTACAAATTCAATAGATATACTGCCTTATTAGTATTCTTTATATAAAAAATACTAATGAGGGCACGACTGCAATAGATACTGCCTTATTAGTATTCTTTATATAAAGAATACTAATTAGGAGTGTTTTTTCAGGTTTAAAGCCACTGCACGTGACATATTATGGTTGACATGATTTGCCAATAAGCTTATGAATTATTAATGAGTGTTTGAAATACTAGATATCACAGCCATACCTGCCATTTTGATCTTTTGCTCGCGTTAGATAAGTTGATAAGTACACTCGTTCTTGTTAGCCATCGTACCTGTTCGGCTGTTCCTCTTTCGATATAAAACTTCGAGCGCCGAGTTATCATACGGCACATTCAAGTGTATAAATTATTGATGATTCCAATATTTCTTACTCTTATTCTTTAAAATATTAAAGATTTGGGAACAATGATATACCAAGGCAGCATTCACTACCCTGTGGGTAAACTAGTATGAACCCTCGCATTCTCCTCCATTCCTCGAAAGCATTGGATACACAGAGAAAACGAGTTTGGGCATAAAGCCCAATGTTTACCAACGCTTGACAAGCCTACGACCAGCGCTAGCGTTTCTAACGTATCTGCATTGTCAAAATCAAAGAGAACAAGGAGACAAACCGAGAGGAGACAACGTCAAAAGGTACCAGTACTTGAAAGATACATTTACCAATATCTTTAATAAATTATGCTTCTTCAATGTCCTTATTTTTTTTCATTGTTTCACAATTTATAATCTTGAAGAGTGGTTAAAGTCACTTTCATCAACAGAGGATGAAAATTTGTCGGTTGCGACTTGCGAGTAATCTAAGCGATATAAAAGCAGACATTCACATAGACTCAGATGCAGTTTGCAAGGAAGAAATCATAGCCAGTTCAGATCTCTCTTTTATTAATAGCGAAGACATTTAGTTGATTTACGCTCCACAGTTAGGATCAAAATACACTCAGAAGTCAGACCTCGCTGAAAGACACAAGTAAATCACACATATTCAAAACACAGACATTCATAACAACAGAATCACTGTGGATTAGACAGTTATTTGATACTGCAAGTATCGTAAGTGTAGAAGCGGAAGCAACGACACAGAATAAATCACTAGAATAAATCGCCAGAACTGAATAGGACTGTAAATGCAGCTCTAACAACTTTAGAGGCCGAACATACGTTAATCATTGAAAAACTACCTTCTGCACTACAAACGACATCATTAGAAAATTTTGACCAAACGAAGTAAAACTATAAATACCATAACTAACCCACAGCTAACTAAACCAACATTGACGGCTTTCTTCAGCATTTGTGACTAAAGGGTCGTACTCATCGTACTCTAAAGCCTTTTCGTGCGAGCAAAAACTTCCTATTGTCTTTGTTTGCAAGGAACAGTGGCCACACTTGCACCAACTGCGCAATTTAAGACGCCAGATATTCTCAGCCTCGAATGCTTAATCGAAGTCTCAAGTCGTCGTCTGAGCCTTTGAGGACGACTCGCTCTCGGAATCGCTCCTGCCCCACTGCTACCAGTATTTTTGTTTAAAACAGGTTCAAACTGATAAAGTAACACTTCACCTAACTGATTCTCGTGAATTTCGTCCATAGAAAGCCTAGAACCGGCGAAAATTCTTCACAAAAGTTAAAACTGATCAAAAGCTATAGTAGCAACAGTGTATTTATTTATTTATTTATTAACTTTGCCAGATTTAAACAACGTTAACACAAAAAACTGGCAGGGCAACAGCTTGTGCCAATTACTGCGATCCCTAAATGTTAGACAAATACACTATATACGTACATAGAAAGAATCAATTACTAACGAACTATCAGATGCAACTTTTCACATTGCGGCCCGTGGAACCACTTCCATCTTTGGAAGCTGACTGAGTCAGAAGACGTTTGAAACGTATTGTTTGGCTTCTCCCCTGCCAATGAAGTCAGATGCCTCAAAT